AACTCCCTGAGATAGAAAATTCACCCAGTTAGTCAGATAAGAAGCAGTCTCATCAATTTTAAGCAGGTCACTTGAATTTCCAAGAATTCCCAACTAAAGTGATCATTCCAAATATCAAAGTCTTTTGAACTGTTTGATTGCATCCCCCCCACCACATTTTACCTCTTATTTTCAGGCTTACTCTCCCTCTCTGAACTTCATTTTAAACTGGCTCTTTGCTTCCTATCTTTTAGCATTGTGAAACAAAAAGAGATTACATTTATAGTCAGCCTTCCATGTGGCTCAGCACTTGACTTGGTCAGAGAAAGTTTTGTTTATCATGGAAAATTTCTGAAAACCGCTAAGTCTGAATTAGCCTACCAACCCTTATCCATTCAGTCTCATGTATAAGAGGGTGATTCAAGGATAGGCACATAGGAGCTAGTGAAAACAGAACTTAGAGAAGACCTTGCTGTATCCAGTAGAATCTGGAATTCTAAAGGGTTTGCCTGTACTCTCAACAGCCCTGTAGGTAGGAATTATTATTATCATTTCACATATGAGAAAACAGATATGGATAGAGGAAGAAACTTGTCCAAAGGTATTTACCTACCAAGTGGAAGATCTTTAAGCCTTTTCACTCAACCTCTTCACAGGCTATAAGGTATTAACCTTGCACTTTTAAAAACACTGCCTTCATTTAGAGCTTAATAATTTTAAGTTAGAGAAACTAGGTCCCATGTCCAATTAAAAACGTTGTGCTGGATAACTGTGTAAGAATAGAGTGGGTGAATGGCTGAACCTCAACATAATACAAAATGCAGTGTTTATTTTGAGGTTTAGAAGTCAGACTGGGGTCTATTAGGAAAAATAAAGAGACTTGGGAATCAGAAAACATAGTAGATGCCCAGCTAGGACACTTAACATCCCTGAACCTCAGTTTCTTTGCCAAAAAATGGGTATAATACTAGCTAATACATAGGATTATTATAAAGTATAGACTAATTAAGACACATATGGTCTTTCTAGAAATAGTGAGAGCTATAAAACAACTGTTTCTTTAATCACATTGTTGTCACCTCATTCATCATTCTTGTCAATCAAACACCTGTCAACTTTTCATGTATCACCAATAATCTTCACGACAGTACTAAAAAATACATGCAATTATCCCCACTTTACAGGTGAGGAAACTGGGGCTCAGAGATTAAGTAGTATGCCTAACACATACAGCTGGTAAGTAACAGGTATTCTAGCATTGGAACTTAGAGCTGATGTTCTTAAACTCCCACTTAAACAAAAAACAGATTTTTGGCAGCTATGGATTGACTAGATGGGAGGAGAAGCTTATAGTCTTTCCTCTAAACCACATGCTTCCAAATGCTGACCCAAAGGTGATCTTTCATCAAACCTTGGAAAAGGCCACGTCCCTCTCAAGCCTCAGAGTTTTTCAGCTGAGAGGGACCTTAGAGAGCAATGGATTCTAGTCTAATCTCTTCATTTTCAAGTGAAGAAGCTGAGACCAAGTCCCTTGCCTGAGCCACACAGCATATTACTGGGCACATTCAGAGTGGGGGCCCATGTCTCCTGACCCTCTCTCTCATGTTTATCTCAATTCTTTCAAAGCCTGGGTGGATTTACAAAACCGAAACATTGCGCCTTACATCAGTTCTCATTCCTTCTGGGTTCCATTGCTAGGCAATTCCTTAGTTCTCAAGACAGGTCCAAGAGCACAATTTCTAAATCCCCCTCAGGGAATTTAATGATAGTTCTAAATGAAGCTTTGAGCATCAGCTACGTGTGAGGCACTGTGGCAAGCACATTGCCTTCCCTTTTGCAGTATCTTTCAAACTTCAATGATTTGAACACTATCTTGACGATTTTTTGCCAAATCTGCACACCACACACACACACACACACACACACACACACACACACACACACACATATATATATACATATATATATATATACACTTATTTACCTAATATTTATATTACCTTCAAAGTTCTAACTACTTTAGCTTTATTCTGGGCTATAATAGGAAATCATGATGTCCTAACTATTTTCCCAATACACATTATATAAATACATAACTACTAACATTAAGATGTTTGTCATCCAAGTCTAATATTATCTCATTTAATTACTCCTGGAACGTAAAGAACTATTATAATTCCTGTATACCCCATATTATATCTTTCTGTTATATCCCAGTATGTTCTTATTTTGTTGCAATATAGAAAACTCAAGCTCAGTTAAATAACTTAACCCTGGTTTCAGAGCAGGTAAGTAGCATCACCACTCCCAAAATCCAAGCCTGACTGACTGCAAAACCCATGCTCCTAGCCTTGTCACTCACTGACATGAAGGAATTCTTGGCAAAGTAAATTACAGCAGATCAGAACTTAAAGGTCCTACTCTAAGAGGGGGGTAGATTTACTTACTTGTATGATTGTGTGTAGAGGGTAGGTGCATTTGGTAGGGGGAAACATATGGGAGCAACATTATTATACTCTTTTAATTTTCAAGTTTTTATTTTAAAAAGTATTATATCTACAGAGAAGTTGAAAGGGTAGTGCAGTGAACACTCCATAACCTTCGCCTGTGTTGACCAATGGTTAACATTTACGACTTTTGGATAACTCTCAGTGTGTGTGTGTGTGTGTGTGTGTGTGTGTGTGTGTGTGTGTGTGTGAGTGTCTGCATTGTTGTGCTGAATCATTTCAAAATAAGTGATAAATATGTGCCACTTCACTTCAAAATACTTTAACACATACTCACTAAGAACAAAGACATTCTCCTAGATAAGTATACCATTCTTATCCAAGAATGTAATAGATAATGTGAATATTATCTAATATATAGCCCATTTTCAAAATTTCCCAACTGTCCCTGCATTGTCACTTAGAGCTATTTCTTCTTCCATCCACCATCTAAAATCAATTGTCGCATGTGGTTGTCTGTTCTTAGTTTTCTGTAATCTAGAACAGTCCTTCTACCTCTTGTTTTTTCTACATTGACATTTTTTAAGATTTCAGACCAGCTTTCATGATTAGTTAGATTCACGTTAATCTGCCTTTTTTTTTGCACATTCCTTCAGTAATATGGCTATACAGAATTACTTGAGAAAACTTTACACAGACTAGACAGAAAACAGAACGAATATCCTTAAAGTCCTAATTACTGAATAAGAAATATGATTTTTTAGCAGCCAAATGAACTACCAATTGGCCAAGAGAAGGGGCTTTGATCTGTGGTGGCTACACCCACCATCCCCCAAATCCTCCATACGCTCACTCACTTCAATGGACCCATCTATTCGTTTCCTCAAAGCTAACTTAAAATGAACATAATGCTGCTTTACCTGGTCTGTCATTTTGTAGGTTGGGAGTCCTCCTAATTCCAGGTCCTGTGGTGAGTGTGACACATGCAGCCGGCCAGCTCCTGCCTGACTTTTTTCCAGCTTTCTGAGACTAGTTATACATTAAAGGAGGAGGAGCAAGGCAAGGAGGGAGTCAACCTAAAAGTCCAAACCTAATCATAGTGAAGGCTGAATATTGATGGTAATCTAATCAATAAATGCTTTGCCTCAAGAGAACTGTGACTTCTATATCTTTGTTCCACTAGGAAAGAAAATAAGAGCAGGTCCTTTACACATTCATTACAAACCAGAGGCCGTCACATTGTAAAGCCTGTGTTAAGTGGAGCGGTAACCCAAAACAGGTGAAAAGCAGGTGAGATATGCTGGGCTGTCATGCCATGTTGTGGGGACGACAAAGACAAGGACACAGGAAGCACACTGTACTCTGCCCTGCAGAGAATCATGTGGTGTTTGTGCCTCAGATCTGAGCTGTGTGGCCAGAGGCCATTGTAGCCTTGAGTGGTTTACCTGAATGAGCTTTGGAGAGTTATGAACTTGGGTTTGAATCTCAACATTCTAGTATGGGCTGTGTGACCTTAAGCCAGTGGCTCACGGTGACTTTGCTGTGCTTTAATTTTTTTCCACCTGATACAATGAAAAGAACAGAACACACATTTTATTTTATTGGATGGATTCAATGTGATAACACATGAGTGCTCTGCATAGTGCATGGTAAGTGCTCAGCACATGGTGGTGTCATTGTTTCTACTATTATTATTGGTTCTGTGTATGTTGAGAGGTGCTTGTTAGAGACAATAGTGTACTCAAATAAGTCTTTGCATATGGCTTGAGCTTGTGCCCTTCTGTGCATCCTCTATGATATCCAATTCCTGTGGGAGGCCCAGATGATATCAAAATGGAATGAACTTTAGCTGTGCTTGGTGACTAGTGTCACTGGTTCCACTGAGGCTCAACTGGAACAAGTTCCCAGCAGAGGAAATGTCATGGACAGCAGCAAAAATGAGGGGCTGATATGAAGAAACAGAAGGTGATATAGTGAAGAGGTACAGGAGATTGAGACTTCATCTGTCTTTTATTTCACCACCTTCTTTTCATTTCTATCACCTCTGCAAAGTAATGCACCTGAGTAAATATTCCAGTTCAAACCACAAACTTTTATTGAGTCCAGCACAGTGCCAGGCTCTGAAATGAATGAGCTAAATAAGACATTTAGGAGCGCATATATACGGGGATGCCAAAACAATGTATACAAGTGGACACTTTGGTCAACGTTGCTCAAGCAGTAATTCGCCGTAATCAAAAGTGTCTGGACACTGATGGTAACCACTTTGAGCACCTCTTGTAATTGAAGAAGTCAAACGTGACTTGTATTCATCTTCTGCTATCAGTATATATTGAGTATTACAATTTTAATAATTTTTGCCTTTCTTAAAATGTGTATACATTTTTTTGGCACACTCTATGTAAGGAGAGGCGATAGTAAACGCACATATGCAATGCAGTAATTTCTTAGTGGAAAAGCATGAACGAATATTAATTAGCCAAGATAGTTAATCTTTATTGAGTTCTTGCTTGGTGCCAGGTGCTGCTCTCAGCACTTTCCATGGATTAACTTGTTCAATCATAACAGGAGGCGCTCTCTGTTGTAGAGCCACGCTTTGGGGAATAGCTTTGAAACAGACCTTAAGGAACCTAGGTAGCACACTGACCTTAGTGCGTAGCCGGCTCCTGGCTTTCCTCACCAGTTTGAGCTGGTGATGCTCACGCCCTATTGTCAGGGCGGTGAATAACCAGGAGACATTCCTTGGCATTCACTTTCCAGCGACACGTCACTGCAGGAGTCTTTGCGCGGCTGTCAAAAATGATCGTCACTTTCTGCTGTTCTCCAACCTTTGCTCTTTGGATCTTCCTTTTAAGAGAGGGAATTGGCCTTGAGTGCAGCGTGAAGCCGGTTAGTTTTTAACTTTTTGTGCGGGTCGGGGCCGCGCCAAGTCGCGCGCTGCGTGCTATTCTCCCTGTTGGAAGCCCGCCCTGCCACTCGCTATGCGGGTCCTGGAGCCTCTCAGGCCAGCTTCCTCTGAGTTAACCGAAGCCTCTTCTGTTCGGCTCTCGCTCAGAAATGAATAATCTCTTCCCCATTTAGGAAAGGGCTGAAACTTTGTTTCCGGGGTTGGGGTGCAGGGATGCAGTTACAATGGTTGCATGGATGGATTTAGCCCTGGGAGAACTGATAATTCCATTTCGGCCTCAGCGCCCACCCGCGGAGTTGCGCGACCGATTGCACCGTGGCATCTTCGTTGTTTCCCTGGCTGGGAGATCAAGGCAGGCTTCTCGCGCTTTGCTCTCAGGATGAGGGCCACGCCGCGAGGTGCACCCGTGCCCAGAACCCCCCAGAGATCCCCGCCCGCCGCGTGGGGTGAATCCAGCTCTGCCTGGTGGTTCTTTCGGCTTCACACTTTAAATCCTTCAGGTCACATTCTGATTACGCCTGGGTTAATTTGATTGTCATAGATCTCCACAGCTCTAGATGGTGACTTTCCAAGGACAGAAGAGAACGCCCCTCCTGTGTTTCATTATTATCCTTCCCTTCAGTAAAACTAGAGCTTATAGTTTATTTCTATAAGCGAGAAGAAAGAAAGCCAGCCGTCTCAGCGTGCTGCCTTTCTCTCTGATTGGCTCAGTTATGGAGAAGTGCAAAGGCTTCTCTGGAGAATCAAATTAAATGAGTTCAAACTGGGCCAAGACAATAGTGCGTCAGAGTGCTGGAAAGTCCCAATCCCTGAAGAAGGCCAGTATATTTTAAGATTCTGAGTCAAATTTGTCCCCATTGTAGCCTGCCTCTCCTCGCCCTCTCCACAGAGACCTCTCTGGTCCAAGCCACCAGCATTTTCTGAGTGTGACTACACAGCCTCCTACCTGGCCTCTCTGCCCCCATTCTTACCTTACAGCCCCTTTTCCACCCAGCAGCAAACTGATTTAAAAATTAAACCAGGCGATAGCACCCCTTGCTAAAAAGTCTCCAGAGGCTTCCTAGTCACCCTTAGAGGGAAACCCATATTCCTCACCATGGCCTGAGAAACCAACTTGAGGTAGCCTTCCCTGACCCTGAGACCTCTCCCACTACTGGCCTCCTCCTCCTCTGGGCTCAGCCACACTGGACTGGTTTAATGTGTACCAGGCTCAGCACCTTTGTACTCAGTGGGCCTCTGCCTAGAGCGTTCCAGCCCAGATTTATATGTGGCTATCTCTTCCACATTCAGGTGATTAGAAAGCCTCTCCAGGGTTCTTAAGGTAGACACGACCTACCCCCTGCAACTCATTCTCAGGCCTTTGCTCTGCTTTATTTTCTTCATAGCACTTATGCTTGATATGTAATTGTTCACTATTGTTTTATCATTAAAATATGAAAGGTTAATTATTAATTTAAAAATTAATTAAATGTTAAATCAAATGTTTTATTTAAATATTAGCATTATTAAATTTTATTATTTTATTACTTACTTGTCTATTATTTTGTCCCACTTTTCCCAGCAAATCTAAGGTCCATGAATGGAGAGACCTTGCCCATCTTGTTATTTCCAGTGTCTATGAGGGTGCCTGGTCCATAGTAGACAATCAATAAGTATTTGTTTAATAAATGAGAGAAGTTCATAAAAGGTTGCCACATGCTTTGTTGCAATGCGGAAAGAGATGTCTGAGCCTGACATTGGGACATTTATTGATTTAACATTCACAAAATGCAGTATTTAGTGAACATTTACTAGGCACCGGTTACAAAAGGGAACAAAACAGACAGCATCTGTGCTCTTGTGGGGCTTAAGTTCTATAATAGAAATTAAATGAGTGCTAAGGAAGAGAACAACAACAGGGGGGCTCCCGCTTTAGAAAAGGTGCTCAGAAATGTTGTTTGAAGAAATATTTTTTAGTTGATACTAGAAGAATAGAGGGGGGAAATTTGTGCAAAGCTTGAGGGAAGAAAGACCTTAGGTTGAAGAACAAGAGAAGTTTGGATAAAGCAGGAGAGCAAGAGGAAGTGGAAAGCGATGTTACTGGGAGACAGACAGCAGCCATGGTCATACAGGGCCTTGTAGGTCATGGGGATGAGCTTGGATTTATTTGAGGGGCAATAGGAAGTCACTGGAGGGGATTAGGTATGGGAGTGATATGATCTGATACATGTTTTAAGATTACTCTAGCTGTTGAGCGAGGGATGGCTTGAATGGGGGCACCTGTGAAAGAGGAGAGAGACACAATTACAAGGTTCTTACAACAGTTCATACTTGATCTTGACCACCAGATATAATGATGATAGTAGGGAAAGAGAAGGAACAAATTCCAGGTATATTTTGGTGGTAGAGCAGACAGGACTTTTTCATAATTGCTTTTGGGAGAGGAGGAAGAGGGTGAATTCACGATGGCAGTGATCCCATTTAATATTACAGGTGCAGGGTTTTTTAATTTATCTGAGTGATAATCCAGGTTCATCTCCCAGACCTCAGCGAGGGCCACAATAAAATAATCAAAACAGATACACTTTGTTCCACTTTTTAAAAATTAAACTTTCTGAGATAATTGCAGATTCACATGCAGTTGTAAGAAATAATGCAGCGAGATCCCATGTACACTTTACCCAGCTTCCTTCAGTGTAACATCCTGCAAGACTATAGGACAACACCACGGCCAGGATACTGACATCAGTACAGCCAAGTTACAGAACACTCCCATCACCACAAACTCATGTTGCCCTCTTATAGCCACACCTACTTCCCTCTTAACCTTACTGACTCCTAAACGGTGGTAACCACTAATCTGTTCTTGTTTCTATAATTTTGTCATTTCAAGGATGTTATAAAAATGGAATTAGATAGTATGTGTATTAGTCAGGGTTCTCCAGAGAAACAGAACCATTATATACACATACACATTATCTATCTATCTATCTATCTATCTATCTATCTATCTATCTATCTATCTATCATCTTTCCACCTATCAGACATGGATTTATTTTAAGAAATTGCCTCACACAATTGTGGAGGCTTGGTGAGTCCAAAATCTGATGGGGGAGCCTGGC